AAAGGATTTTTATCAAAAACATAATCAATGAGCACAAATAAGGAATAGTTGTATTAACCTACATGGAAACAGAGTTTTATGGGGCCCCCAGGAACTTGGGGCCCTAGGCAGCTGCCTATTATTGCCTAAGGTAACAGTTAAAAGGCCGTTTCTATCCCTCATACATGAAGTGGAGCACTTAGATGCTCCCATCAGCAAAGCTTTGTTCACTACTTCTAGATTTTTCTCAGACATGACGAACATTGAAACATGTCGTTTGTGATCCACAGGCGTCACATTTCACCCTTCCATTCCCATAATGGCCTCTTAAATAAATCCTCTCTCCTCCTACTTTGGTGTTCATGTCAAAACCTCAAAGCTCCTTATCTTTCATTTCTGAGAATATGATGAAAAACGTGCTTTAGATGCAGAAGGAACAGGTTTCATTGTGACTGTCTCTGCAGATAACCAGCAGCTCTGTAGGAACCTGAACTGATTGATCAGGGTCCTTCTAACCTCCACGCTGCCAAATGGGCCATTCTCACCGATGTCGGCCATGTTGGGGTTAATTCACCTTGAGGCTTATCGCCGCCATCCTCTCTGTTTGACCACCTGTGTTTGTCAAAGTCCTGCTCACTCAATCACAGATACGCTGACTTCTTTTGTTCAAAAAGGAAGCAGAAAGAAGTCAAATAAAAAATGTAGATACATTTAATGAATTTATTATTTTTAATTGCATCAAGCTGGTAAGCAGTGGTGTTTGTATAATCGTGGGCAGCGTAGCCAGCCAGTTTTCGTTTCTCATTAGATCAGCAAAGAAGCTCATTGAAGCCCACAGCATCACTCCGCCTTTCTGCTCCACGGCCTGCAGGTTTAGAGGAAAACACAGTTAGTCTGAATCTTTTTAAAGCAAAAGTTTAGTTGCTAATGTTGGAATAATTATCATTGAAGATGTGTGAGTTTATCACAGCCTGCTATTGGCTGCCTGTTGCGCTTCAGAAATGATGTTTTAATGTAATTAGGCCAGTTCCTCTGTCCGGATATACAGTTATGATCTTCATTCTGTATGTGGCAAAGATTTGGGAATAAGAGCAGCGTCCTATTTTGATGAGGCTGCAGCCATGGATGCCTAATCATCTGCTGATGTGTCTGATGTAAAATGTGATGATGTTGCAGACTGAAGATGTAGAAAAGCCTTTTTAACTGTTAATCGGTGCCACTTCCTGACAGGTGAGCTAAGATATGAGAATATCCATAAGGCATCTGCCTTATGAATATTCTAAGCAATTTCTCTGATCTGAGGAAGATTACATTTTCTATCTAAATCTGTTTTAATGTCTCCTGGTTATTTAATACATAAAAGTTCTGAAGTGTTATTTAAAAAGTTTGTCCCGAGTGATCTCTATTCAGGGAAAGGAACCGGGGAGATAAAGCTTTCTTTCTTTAACACTAAACAATGAGCAGCATCTCTTCCAATGAAACAACTAAACTGAGCTACGTTTCTTCAGGCAAAGCAGCTGAGACCACGTTACATTTCAGGAGGTTTCATTTAGAAGCACAAATAATCCTTCATTCATCAGCAGGAGAGTTTAATATTTAATTTATTGGGGTTCAGATTGATTGTTGAATTATCACTGTGCTTACTTTAATCCTTTAAAGGAACTTATTTTCAGAGGCATATTGTTTTCTCTGCAGATCATTTGAATCTGAAAGGAAATAAAGAGGGAAATCAATAACAGCTCTTCAGACATCCTGGTTAGTCCACATTTCTAACAGACTGAGAATCAGAGGCTGCATCAAACACTCACTGCATTGATAAAGGCGATTCACCCGCAGGATGTCGGTGCGGCTCATGGTGGTGGCTCTTCCGATCTGCACGTTTGCGTCGGGGATGGGGACGATGGTGGGCTCTCTGTTTCTGGAGAAGGCGTACCTGTAATCCACACATCACAGCACAGGATTAAACCATTACAGTGTGCTATTAAAAAAAAAATTAATAATAATCAAAGCTGTTGAGTTTCCCAAACTTTGATTTCTATGTTTTTTTTTTACTTTCAATCCAGAAATGTTTGTGTTTATATGAAACTAATAATCAGGAAATAAAGAGTCTGACTTAAAAACATCATATTTTTATCTGGCGTTCACTGCCCGTCAGTGGAGACGTCAGAAATAGGTTTGAACCAGCAACCTTTGCAGCCTCCTGATGCTCTGCCGCCTAACTGTCCTACAGATACGCCCCCTGCTGCTAGCCAGTGGCGTGCATGGATATTATTGGGGGCAGGTGCTCAGGTTAGAAAAAGGGCACCTTTTTGTGCCAACGGTGTCTGATGCTGCAGGAAACAATCTTCCCCCGTCCATATTGGTGCCGATTAGATAAAAAATCATTTCTAATCCACTGATTTATAAACAAACCTGAAAACAAATTCACTAGATTGAGTTTTTATTATTTTATTTTCACCAGTGGAACGCTCTGTTGAGGCGGAGCTACACGCCTGAAGGAAACTAACAAATATCTAGACTCTTGGTTTGATTGGCTTTTAAATTCATAAATGGTATTTTGTGCCAAAGAGTAAAGAAAGAAAAAAAAAACAGATTTCAGTAGGATATTTTCAGGTCCACAGTGGAAGAGAACAGGAGCTCTACCGCCACCTAGTGTCTATCTATGCATTTCGCTGCTGGTAACCTCACCATGAAAGGCTTTGAGAAATAAATAACAGAATCGATCACCTCATTTCATCATTTTATCAGCAATGATAAAAATTAGCATACCCAGAAGACAAATAAAGAGCTAAGCTATAAGAACTAATAACTGAGTGATGTTGAAGATTAGAACTGCCTCTATTTTCTGAATTCACTGTCCATTTATATCATGCTTAGTTTACACATCTGACCAGAGGCATCCAAAGTATTCATGTATAAATCCTGCTGGTTAAAAACACTTTAGAAGTGAGAGGATCAACTTCAGCTTTTTTACTCCAGTAAAAATGTAAAAGTAGCATTTTTAAAACTAATTAAAGTATAAAAGTAAACGTAAAGCAGGAAAAACTGTTAAGGCCAGAAGCTTTACTGCTCTACTCTATTAAAGGAACATTCTGGATGAAAACTTCCTCAGTTTCTTAGTTTTATAACTAATGGTAACAGCGTCACATTTAACTTTGCATTATCTGGAAAAACTGAAAAACTTGAAGAAATGTATTTTGGTTTGTGGTGAGCAACAGGTTGGGGCAGCACCGAGTCCAGTTTCATCCAGACTATTAATTGTCTGGATGAAACTAATTATTTTGATGTTTTTTTTGGTTGTTTTTTAAATACCAACAGGCCATAATGAAAATGAGCTTATATGAAACAGAAGTAATGACTCAATTTTTAAAATATGAGGAGTAGAAGGAAAAAGTTGTCTAAAAGATAATAATGATAATAATTACTGCAGTAAAGTATAGAAAGCCAACATTTCTACTTAAGGAAAGTAATGAGGTATTTTTTACTTTGTTACTTGAAGCCCCTGCAACTGAAAAATATTTTTCAGCCCTGAAATTAATTGTTTTTTTCCTGCCTAAGTTTTTCATTTCACGTTTACCTTCCATAGTGCATGACAGAGTTGTAGTCGTAGGGAGTGCCAAGGTTGTTGGTGTTGATTTTCCTGAAGTTATGCTCCTGCCCTGCAGGCCAGGAACACAAACTAGTCATTCCTCAGAAGTTATTGCTACAGCCAATTAAAAAGATGCTCAGTCTGAGCTGATTTCAATTAGGAAGAAGCAATAATCTCTGGTGATATTCCATCATTGCTTTGGAGGATTCTGTGTGGAGCTCACCGGGGATGACGTTCTGTAGGAGGATACGAACGTGGTTGTCCCTGTCGGACCTGGTCTGCTCATGGTTGAATCCCAGAGCATGCAGCAGCTCATGCTGGACAATCTGGTGGAAAACACACCCACTGCGGCTCAAAGACACCACCTGGGCGCCGCCACGGCGACCGACAAAAGACCAACACCTGGAGGGAGGAGAGACAGATCAATCACACCTGATGATGCAGGGGAAGCAGCACTCTCATGTCTCTGGGTGTTTTTACCCGCCGCGGGACTGGATGTCCACAAAGTCTCGTTCTCTTCGGTGGGGCCTGAAGCGGATGCAGGTGGAGGAGTGAAATGACTGCAGACCTCTGGTGATGATGTCTCTCTCTCTTGCAGCTTGGAGAGAAGGAAGAGTATCAGTAAATGAATCAATAGGAATGTGAGTCATCTCGATAGCAAAACCACAAGGCCTTTGGGGAAGAACGCTCTCACTGCTTTGCTATGGTTCTGAGATAAGTCAGGCTAAAACATCTGAAAGCTCCTTCCTGTCAGGCTAAAACGTCTTAAGGCTGCTTCCTGTCGGGCTAAATCGTCTTCAGGCTGCTTCCTGTCGGGCTAAATCGTCTTCAGGCTGCTTCCTGTCGGGCTAAATCGTCTTCAGGCTGCTTCCTGTCGGGCTAAATCGCCTGCCAGCTCCTTCCTGTCGGGCTAAATCGTCTTCAGGCTTCTTGGACTCTATAGGTCCTCAGTCACATTCTGCCAAATGCGTTGCAAGCATTTAGCATTTTTTTGAAAAGTTGCACAAAGAACACAAAGAAGTGACTTGAGGTGGACCTTGTAGAAACTCACAGAACTGGTTGGAGATCCTGTAGGGGATGTAGACGTTTCCGTCCTGGGCCTTAGTCCACAGGCAGCCTCTGGATGTGCATGGATCAGCGTTCCCCAGACCTGTTGGCACGGCAATGTCTCCAAACATCACCAGGGGGTCGTCCAGGTTCCTCCCTGCAAAACATCAAATGGAGGAAACGTGGTCTTTTCCATCCCACCTGTCCACTATTGTCGCTATCAATACTTAGATCATTTTCGGTCCAGCAGCTGTTCTGGAGGACAAGAACCTACCGAGGTTAGCATTAGCCTTTTCCAGCAGCGTGGAGATACTGAAGTCCTCATCCTCAATGTTGTTGTCTGCATAAAAACAGAAACGTTACAGTTTGTTTTACAGAAGTTGAAGCTCAGGGTTACTTTAACCTGAATAGCTGCTGTCTTCACTGATACTGGGACATTTTATAGGAAAACAAAGGGAGACATGGGAAAGATAAGCTCTGAACAAACTGGACTGAAACATTATTAAACTAAAGGTATTAATGAAGGAAAGCTTACCAGCACTTCCATCAGTCTTTTCAGTTAAAGTCTGAAAGAAAAGGGTTGATTAAAGCCCTGAAAGGAAAACCTTCATCATTTTTTAAAGTGGGAAATCCTACCTGTGATGTGGCGCAAAAGAGCACACAGAGGGCGGCGGTCAGGAGCATCATGGCTGTCTGTTGGATGGCAGCGTCTCACTCAGACCAAGCTCTGCAGCTCAGGTCTTTATATAGGAGGCCGACAGAGACTGGAACTGGCAGTTGTTACCTAAGAAGAGTTGAAGTATCAGCAAACTGCGACACATGTTGCAGTTTTGTTGAAATTTCCTGTGGTCTTCTCCAAACAACCCCCTCCCCAAACCGTTTCAAAACCTTTGGCTTTCATCTTCATCATATGCACGCTACAGAAAACTGTTACTGATAAAAGCGCTGACATAATCAAGCTCCTTTACGATAAGGAGAAACATAAAACATGAACCAAAGATTAGAGTAAATTCTGTCTGGCAATGTGGCAATAAGAATAATTGTCTTGATACCAAAAAGAGCCCAACAGATTTTACTTTCACAAGTGGAATATGGCAATTGCCATATTGCTCCACTTGTTTCATGCATATAAATTGCTTTATTATAATTATGCAGGGAGTTTTATAGTTTATATGGACAC